GCCCGGGAAACCGCCGTGCGGCGCGGGGTCCGGGTCTGCCCCTGACGCCTCTCCCCCGTGTCCCAGGAGTGGAGTGGGGGCTGATTTTTCCGGATGCTAACGGGGAGTACCAGTCGCCTATTAACCTGAACTCGAGAGAAGCTAAATACGACCCCTCGCTCCTGGAAGTGCGTTTGTCACCGAACTACGTGGTGTGTCGTGACTGTGAAGTCATCAACGACGGGCATTCGATTCAGATTGCCCTGAAGTCAAAATCAGGTAAGCTGAAGCGCGGCCTCTGCTTTCCCCGCCGGAGCTTGCGCTGCCCTCAAACTCCCTGTTGGCCTCTCCCGGGGCTCAGGAGCAGCCGCCGCTCCCGGGCCGGCGCTCCCGGACTGCGGCCGGCAGGAGCGTTGCTGTTGGCATCGGTAGGAAAAGGAGCAGGATTTGTGATGGGAGCCACGAACTGCATGGTCGGTCAGATGGCTTCGGAGCGTGTGCTGAATTTCCTGTCGTGGTGGTGTCGCCTAATTCAGCGGTGTTAACAGCTGTCTGCATGCAGGAGCAGTCCGGACTATCCCTGGGACAGCGTGATGCCAGACTTACTTTGTGCAGCTGGCAAAGTTTGTCCATGGTCCACAGACCACATAAGTCGGAAAAGCTTTTCCATCATTTTGAGTGGATTCTGAATACTAACTACCTAATTGGGCAGGTTAGGAGAGATACTCCGGTTATACAATCAAGTATTGATGAAGAGCAGGTAGCAAAGCCATCCTCATTTCTTAAATTTTTTTTTTTTTTGTGTCATTCATCAAATACGAATTAGAAGCAAATAATAAAAGAAATCATTCCAACTTCAGTGAAATTGCAGTATCTCACTGAGTCCTTTCATCTGGGTAAACTGTTCTGAATGAAGGAGACAACTGCCAAGAAGTAGGTGGGAAAAAAAAGCCCACTGCGCTTTCCAGCACTGCGGTGGTTCTTACCATGTGTTTGGAAGAGCATCCAAGATGTTCTAACCAATCTTAGCTAGTAACAGCCTTTTGGGGGCATTTAAACAGCTGAACGTTGTCAAACCGTGAGGCATTCCAACTTTTGTTTCCTTCTGAGATCCCAGTAGTTCTGGGAGCCACAGCTGTGCTGAGAGTGAGGGAGTCAGGTCGGTTTTACACTGAATTCTTCAAAAAGGAAGAGTTTGTTATTTTAATAATCAAGCTTTCCTTTATAATTTCCTTTCCATGATAATTTCCATGTATTATTGCAACACAAAACGTTTCTTTCCACAGAATTTTGTAGATTTGGAACAGAACAGAACTTTTTTTACTCCCGGTCAGTTATATTGACTTCAGCCGAAGCAGAGCTCTTTTCCCAAGGAATAAGGTTCTGTGTGCAGGATTGGGAAGGTTCTTGACTTCTCCTGTGGAGGACAGCTTGCGTGCCAAGATGCAACTCCTTCAACCATACCTTTCCCAAGGGCAGTATGTAACTTAGTAGCAATAATTAATAAGATTGGACCAACACACCTAAATGCATGTGCAAAAACCATTGGAGACTTGGGAGGAGGAAAGACTTTTTTAAACTTGAATGCAGTGTGATGCCAAACTGTTGAGTCTTGAAATACAAGAAAATGTGAACTCGAATAAAAGTTTATGACTGAGGTATGGGATTATGATTTATAAGATCTTGTTTTAGTTTTAGCTTTTCCTCAGATTTCATATCACATAATTTCCCATTCTCCATTTGTAAACTGGTGATAATTTTTCCATTTTCGGGAGAGGGAAGTCAACTTTTGTTATCCCTGCCAAGAGGAGAAAAGAGTTAATAAGCTGTGTTTGACCTAATATTCTGGCCAGTTTTCAGGGATTGCGGAAACTCCTGCAGCTTCTTTTCCTCACAGGGGGATCTCCAATGACAAATCCACTTAGCCAGATTATTTTAATGGGAACTGTTGAGCCCTAAATGCTTTAGAAACTCTGTCCAATTTCTGTGCAGGAGATCCTCCTCTACTGCCTACATGTTAACAATCAAAGAAAAAATTATTTGTGTAAAAAAGTAAACCAATTAAGATACATATTAAAAATCAATTTGTCATTATTAGTGATTGATTTTATCCTTTAATTCAAGACATGCAGTCCATCTGGAATTCCCAAATCCTTCTCATTATTTAATTGCAAACATTTTCACAGGCTGCTTCCAGTTTGATCATGGTACATGTGTTATGCATTAGGTGGAAGAAGCATGACGAACTGTGTAATGGAATTGTATATTGAAAAATGCTTTAGAGGGTATCCTACTAACAGAGAGACTTTTCTGAAGTCAGCAGTGGATTGCAGTGGATGATGGTTTTCAGAATAATTTTCTAATGAGGATCAGAAATTGCTGAAAGGCAAAGTAAAGTTAAATAAGTTTTATGCATTGTCAAGGATCAAGATTTGATGGAAGGCAAAGTAAAGATAAACATGCTTTGCGCATTGAAATATGTTATCAGGGGATCAATTTTAAAACTTAAGCCTCAGAAATAAACTCTGTGAAGCTTCTGGAAATGCATAATAACTATGTCATGCAGAGAACATTTGTTCTAGTTAACACTTTATCTAGGAGGAATATTTTAAAACAGAGAAAATACTCCATTTTCCTGAGAAGCAGCACTCATTGAGTATCATATTACTTTTTATTGGTCCAGATTTCCCTAAATGTTTCCCCTAGGGTTCACCAGATTTACAGGTTTTTCTACAGGATATACGTATAGACAGAATATAGATAAAGCAACTTTAAGAAGCGAATCTGAATCTATAACTACATTTAGGACATTTCAGAAACCCTAATCACTGTTAGATTAGTTATGAAGAATTATTAAAGGGGTATTAATTGGAATATTTTACTTCTTCCCCTAATGTAATTGCTATGAAAACCATAACTGATCAGTTTTCTTTCTGGTTTTTTTTTTTTAATAGTTATGTACGTTTGTTTTAGTGTTTATACAGTTGCAGTGCGACTCAATTGCTAAATTATGTTTTAGCATTACACTATGTCTTGTGCTCCAAACTAAGGCCATTTAGTTTGTGTGTCCAAATATCTTTATATTATGGAACTTTAACTCCCTATAGCTGTAGGTTATGCAATTAAATCATCCTTATCAATTGTTAGAGATTGCAAAAGATTCATTCAAAGTCTATGAAATGTAAATTTGGATTTAATGGATTCTGGGAAGACTGTGAGTGACCATAAGCAAAATCCAGCCCGGCCTAGAAGCCAATATTCAGTGATTTCAGTGGGAAGTTACCTACAGCTTGTGGAATAATACTTGATATGAGGTAGATTTGGAAATCGGTGCGCAAAATGTTTCCATTCATGAATTCTGAAGTAGTTTGGGCCTCACATGGTACAAATGTTGGAGATCTCTATTAATGCAAAAGTATTGAGCTAGTATGTGAACTTTCTTTTGTGTGCTGCGATTCTAAGAAATTTCAGATGTTTAAAAAACTGAAGTAAAGAAAAACCACAGCTGCCTAGAAGCTGATTTTAAGCAAATGGGGTTAGTTGTTGCTCCTGTGTGTAGGTTTGATTATATTTGGATATAGAGGCATTCTGTGTCTCAGAAGCCTGACAGGTGGTATATGACCTTTACCTAGTAAAATGTTGGCAATCAAAAGTTTTCTGTCAGTTTTTGTGACTCATAGCAAATATAGGTGATGGAGACTAAGCATTTGGACAAGTTGGAGGTAGTTACCAGTCCAGTTCAGAACCCCCACCATCTGTTTAGAGCACACAACTACTGTCTTGATAAGAGCAATAAACATATTCACTCTTCTGACTGATAAAGGTACAGTGTTTTTATTTGGTGTTATAACCACCTGTTCTGTCTCATGAAACAAAGAGCAGCGTCACAGCCATTTTGCTGTTGCTCATGACTGCCTGAATTCGCGCTCCATACCGGCGTGGTATGTCACAAGTAAAGATGTCAAGTCTGTCTGTCCACTTTGCTCTCCTCCCCTCTAGTACTGCTGATAATAGAGAAACTTCCAACAGTCTTCCCATTGTATTTGGAGAATATTTTCAGTGGCTTGCCTGCTTCAAACCCAAGTTCCTTACCATTTGTCTTCTTTCCCAGTGTTAACAGGGGGGCCGTTACCTCGAGGACATGAGTTTGAACTGCACGATGTTCGATTTCACTGGGGGAGAGAAAACCAGCGTGGATCTGAACACACAGTTAATTTTAAGGCCTTTCCTATGGAGGTAAGACTAACACTGCATGGCATAACAACTGCTACTTGCAAAAGATTTTATTTCATAGCCTGAATTCCTGGTAGTTCAAAAGAGAGTTTCTTTTAGCTCAGCACTTTATTGCTTTATATTTCAACCACAGAGCTGTCTTGCTGAGGTGTGCTTTAGTGCAGGAAAATTAGGATATGCATCTGGAATAGAATGCCTCCAGCACTCATCACTTTGTGTAATTAATTGGTCGTAAAGTTAACTTGCAGTATTATTAACTTCTGTCTTAATAATATTAGTGTTCTAACAAGATCAGCTGTTTCAACACTTCCTATGTCACCTTGACTAATAGCTATAGATGGGGAGAACTAGCCACTGAAAATGTCTCCATGGTGAGTAATAACAACTTGGGTAAATTTGGAGTAAGTGTAGAGATGAAAGTGTAGAGTTTGTTCATGAAATAGCTTTACATACCTGAAAATTGAAGATTCTGTGATATTCTTGGGTGTGTTCTATAATATCTCAATGAATTACAAAATTTTGAAGCACAAGTAACGTGATAATGCAGTCTGAAAAAAATCAGCTGATCGTGGGGTGTCAGTTTGGGCTCCGAGGTAATACAAAATGCTGGGACCTCTTTCTTCTGCCCTCCAGCTGCCATTCACCATATTACTTCACTTCCCACTGTCCCATTGGTTACACTTGGCAGGAGTGGCTTGGAGTATCCCTTAGACCCTGGGCTGCAAGACTAGTTTTAACAGATACCAACCCTGATGTTCGGTGACTTCAGCTTTGCATCTTCTGTTTTATTTGTTGTGCACTATTGGTTTTAAAGAAACTCTAGATTTTTTCAGAGTTCTGTGAGTTATTTTTGCCTTATTTATCTAAGGCGATAATCCCTTATCAAAATCCCTCACGAGCCTGAAACTCCGTTTCCTTTGTCTCTGTGTTGTTCAGTGCTAGGAAATTTCTTATTGTAGTGTTATATTCTTGAGTGCCAGACTACTGGAAGAGAACCACTTTATGGAAAAGGATGTAAAAAGTGTTGGAGTAGCTACTGCAGAGCTACGCTAAAAGGCTTGTGGACTTACACCATCAATCTACTTATTAGGTTGGTTCTGGTGCTTTAAAAGTTGTTGCTATTTTGCACTGTTCCATCAAAAAACTCCATATCTGAAGTCACTCACAGGGGCTTTTCAGGTTGCATCGATGCAGCTCATAGAATCATTTAGGTTGGAAAAGAACTTTAATATCATTCAGTCCAACTGTAAGCCTAACACTTCTAAATCTATCACTAAACCATGTTCGTAAGTGCCACATCTACACGTAGATGCTCTTTGCAGGTTGATTTCAGGCAGATCCTGGCAATGCAGGAGAATTACTTAAATGGGGAAGACTCATCAACCAAAGGAAAAGCAGAGGAATCGCCTCTGCATTTTGGTTACCTGGCATAGTATATACCTGATGTATATGGGCAGAAAGACCTTCAGGATGCTGCAGTGTTCCTCTGAGGCAGGAAGTAACTTGTTCATTGTGAAACAGCTCTGCTTAGTGCTTTTCTTCAAGGCTGATCCAGCATGTGGTGATCAAGAAATATTGATGTGAACTATGTCCAGAACTGTACTTGGGAGTCTGTCAGGGTCTCCCATCTCCTTGTTTATTAAGGGTCACTTTGGAAACAGCCTTGGTGGTATGTGGGAATAGCCTATAGATAATCTGCAGAGACCCCAGAATTCTCTACTCCAAATTAGTCCAGAGAAAAATATACTTGACCCAGACATGCAAAACAACAAACTTATTCAGTCATGAAGGGATTTCATTTTTCACCTACTTGAACAGCAGTGCAGAAGCTGCACAAACAGAATTTTGGAATTTTGGCACAGTTGAAGAACATCACCTGGAGGCGAGCAAGCCGGTGTTATCCTCTGTCTTGCATTGAAGCAGCTTTCAGCTAGACTCTGATCGCCTAGAAATAGTTACTGATGCAAAAATTCTGTAGCAGAAAAAACTTCACTTTAAATACAGTGCAAATGTTTAATTTTGCAAACAGATCCTTATGCTGAATAATTCTTCTGGCAGAAAAGGACAGCATAGCTTGTTGTATCCAAGGTCATTTGCACACAGGTGTATTTAATGAGCCAGTTCATCATCTTCTACTCCATGTTGCAAGAAAGTGCAGGGCACTTTGCTCGACAGGTGAGCTGCATTTCCTTCTACTATATGCACAAAGAGCTGCTATATTAACCCCATCTCAAATTGTCCAAATCAAATACTATACTCAAGCAATAGTAAAGCAGGTGCTTGTGACCACTATACGTATTTATGAAGTGGTACATCTCATACTCCAGAATGAAAGATTTTCTGTTTCCATTCCAGGGATTGCACCATCTAATTTTTTTTTTTCTGTGGAGAGCCATCATTTTCATCAAGGGATCAGAAAATATTATTTTCTTAACTTTTAACATTAGCACTGGTTTATATGGTTGTTGGAAATCACCGTATTTTGAACATATAATTGGCCTTGATTTTCCCTGGGTTTGTCAGTTACTGAACACAAACAGTGATGGGTGCCTATTTTGGCTATATACGAGCAGTCTGGTGTAGTTTGTGCTTTCGTCCTGTACTAAGTACAAAATAAGCTGGCAGTTGTTTGTGCACAAATGTGTGCCTAGAAATAAGTTTGGATCTTCTGTCAGTGGAGCAAACCTGTTGGGACATTTTCCTAAGAAACTAGAAATGCTTTATAAAGCAAATGATAAGGATTTTAAATTCTCCTCTCTTTGCAGGAGGAGGACAGGTCAAGAGGATAAACAGTAGTATGAAAACCTAAGTGTTTGGTTTGAGTGGGTACATTAACAACACAACAAACTAGACCCAGATGATATACTCCGTTACACTACTGCAAAACCCGAACAGTTCTACAGACACCAACTTTGTGTTTGAACAGACCTATCTGAGGTGACTATCTCAGACTGTTTATTGGCTGGAGCAGTCTCCTTTTTATGAATGAAGACTGTAAAGCTTTATTTTATTACATTGGACCAAATAGTTGTGGAACAGCTTCAGATTATCAGTGTATGATTGTTGTAAAGGCTGAGTTTAGAAAAGAGTGTTATTCTTCAAAGTTTGGAAGAGCACTCTTCAGCTACTTCCATAGTCTTTGATACCATAACTGCTTATATAGAAATTAGGCAATATCCTGTATTAGTTGGGTAATATCCTGTGCCTCTTAGTGCAAAAATCTTATTATTTCTTATTAGGCAGTGGGGCCTTTGCATGTGGTTAGGTTATATAGGTTCATGGAGAAATGGGTTAGACTACTAACCTTATGTAACTTCTGGAACAGCTTCTTGAAATAATTCACACTGTCAAAAAATGTTCATGTGGCTTGGATGCCGAGTTTATTGTTACTTTTATTATTATATGAAGTTCAACAGAGATGTGTGTTCTGCCTTCCTTGACTGAAGAAACCAGAATGTTGACAGCAATATGCCAGTGTTATCATTTTAACTGAAACATCTGTGTTTGCATTCAGTCAGGAAAGCAGGACAAAACAATAAACAGCTGTCAAAGGGAAATACTGTAACACGTCTTTTTAAACTAAGGAAAAGCAGAGGGCTGTATGTATTGGTACAGTACTCCTCTCTCTGTTCGTGAAAACAAGATCATGAAAGCCGTTCTTGCCTTTTGGCCAGAAATTGGAAGGAGGCGTATGTGCAACTTTCTCCAGAAATCTTTCTCGCCGAGTACTTCTACTGCACTTTAACAGCGTTGCTTTGCCTTTTGGCCAAAGTTACTTGGGCCATCGCTTGTGCTAAGTATTTAGTAATGGTCTTGACACTGAGAGGCTGTTTCCTGCTAGCAAATGGAACATGGTACCAAAGATGTGTGCTTTACAGTACACATTTCTACAGAAGTAAAATCCACACTTAAATGCACATGTGAGTTACCTGGACCTGATTTAGGTGTAAGAAAGAGAGGAACTATTTCACATCTTTATTCCTCTCCTTCGTGCCAGGAGTATGGATTGGAGAAGGAGGAAGAACAAGTGAAGCTCTGACGCTCTCCCTTAGATTTGATGTGTAAGAGAGAGAGAGAGGGGGACAGGAGTAGCAAATTACTGCTATTTATTTTTGTTATTAACAAAATTAAAATAGGGCCAGCTAATAATGGAGTCCCACTATACCTGATCTCTGTATAAACACAGCATATTATAGTGCCAGACCAAATCAGCTTACAGTCAAAGACGACAAGAAAGGTAGTATGGGAAAGTGAACTATATGATGGCATTAATATTGTTTTATTTAAAAAAAAAATGCCTCTGAAGTGAAGAGAAACAGGGGAAAATTACGCCTTAAAGATGTTTCTTAGTTACTCAGGTGGTGGTGTGACCAAAACCACAATCTGACCATAAGGGAACAGTTGTTTCCAGGCTGTTGCTGCTCTGAAATAAAACTGTATTTGAGAAAATCAAAGGGTTCCTTTCACCAGTAGTAATATGACCAGGGGGATAATTCTCTGTAATCCATCCTCTTTAAAATAGAGGATTATATTAGCTGTGAACCATGTGAAAGTTCTCAGTAGAAGAGGATTGGCAGAAAATAATTTAAAAATTGTTTCCAAGATGTGCAGAAAGATTAAAAACTCTATTATTGTCTGCCCTACAGTTCTGAGTAGAACAGAAGAAAATCCAGTTGCCTGAAGGACCAGAATCAGTTCTCTACAGGAAAAGATGTTCCTTTCTGCTGTGTAATGAAGAGCAAACTAATTCATTCTGTAGACTCTTTCAGAGTTACTGAAATACCTGCTGCAATGAAATTAAATATAATGCGGAAAACATACCCTACACTCAGTCTGATGTAAACCATTAAGTTTTCCTTTGTTCACTTGCAATGGTGCCTGCCTAAGGATGGCATCAGAGTTGCTGCTTTAGGGCTCCGGGTTAGGCTGTTCACATTTTGCTTACCTACCCAAGTCCTTGTAGTCTTTGGTGTGGGGATTTCTCTGTGCTGGGCTGTGAAATC